CCACAAATTGAACGATCAAACCTTTAAACAGTTAGGATCGTCTCAAATTCCCATCTTGGTCAAACCTTTAAACAGTTAGGACCAAAGCCAAAAAACATTTCCTCCTGGTAAAAAAAATAATAATTTGCAGGCTATTGTTAGTTTTCACCCGTTTCCACCACAAAACCCGGGGTGGTTTCTAACAAAATGAGACAAACACAATGAAAGATTTCTGTAATGCACAACCTTTTCTTAGGGAGTGTTGTCCGGTTGTTTTCCAATGTTTTCCACCCAAAAAACTTGAAACAAACAGCTCCTTAAGGGGGGGTTATTCATTGGTATAATTTTGGAGATATTGGTGTAATTTTGGGGATAATGGGATAATTTTTGGAACAATAATGTTTGGTGTTATTCATTGGGGTATTTGGAACTGGAACCAACTTTGTGGTGTTATTGGTTTGTTGGGATAAATGGGGGACAAATACCCCACTTACCCCCAAATTACCCCAACTATATAAGCTCTTCTCAGCCCCACTCCCCGAATTTACCCTATTTTTTTCGCTGGAACAAGAGGGGAACAGAATTACCCCATTTTTTTTCCGTCGTCGTCGTTCCCGAGCAGGGATTTCCCCACCGCCATCTCCTCCGCCTCCTCCGTCGTTCCCGAGCAGGAGAGTCGAAGACGAGTGAGGGCCGAGGGTCTGAGCGATCCGGAGCGGCTGAGCGGATCTCGAAGCGAGTGAGGTCCGAGGGTCTTCGTCGGCGGCGACGCCGAGATCGAGGAAGAGGAGGGCGAGGAGAGGGCTGGGGAGGAGCGCCTCCTTCGAGGCGAAGAGCGATGAGGCGCTGTGCAAGATCCCGGGGAGAATTGATGCTGATGATGGGCGTCTCGCCTTCTCCCTTTTCCTAAATCCCCCAAACCTTTAAAACTACCCATTTTCATCATTATTTTCCTAACGCAGCAGCAGCAGCAGCAATGGCAGACCTGGCCCCAGTTCAGGTATAAACTCCAATTTGATCAATTTCTGTAATTACTAACGATTTTGATATCTGGGTTTTGTTCTAACGATGACATAAAGGCTGCATATTTGGAGATAATTAGACACAAAACAATTGAAATCAAGAATAGGGTTTTGTTTGTTTGATTTGGGAATTTGTGAAATGATCATCATACCCTAGATTATGGAGCTTAATCCGCATTATCAATTTCCTGTCTGTCAAAGTTTCTTGCTGGGTTTTATGGAAAAGAAATCCCTTTATCTTGTCAATAATTTTCACTGTCAAGAATTAGACATCATATACTACTAGCAAACTGTGTAATTGTCCCACTCAAATTGTCCCATTATCCCATTTTTAATTATAGATGTTTATTATAGATGTTTTTAGATATGTATATCATGATAAACGGAATTCATTCCTATATGAGATGTTCTTTATTGTGTATCCAATCCAGAAGAGACTAACATTGTTTACAAGGAAACACCAATTAAAAACAAGTGAAAGAAAAGCTTGAACACGATAACTTCTTCATCTCCAAAATATTTGAACTCTAGAAGCTTAATAACAACGAACATAGGCGTGCAAATTTCTATTATTGAAATACTAGTTCACCTTTATTATTGCAACATATGGCTTCTCATCCTCAGACTCAGGATATATTTCAATTATTTGAATTCTTATGCATGCTTTGGATAGTGATGGAATTACTTGTAGTGATGGAATTCTTACTATTTTTTTTGAATATATTGTATTAAAAATCTTACTATTATTTGATCTCGTTTCCTAATACAGGATGGAAGATAATCACAATGTCTCTATTTTGCTATTTGATGAGGATACTGCTGATAATCTCCTCATTCGCATTATCAACATGGCTGCACAAATAGGAGGTCTAGTCACGACTATGCTGATTAAAGTGACGGGGAAGGCCGAAATGGTATCAATCACATAGTATTATATAAAGAGTTGTGAAGGATTTCCAGTTCGTTTGCACACAATGAGGACATAAGAATCATGATTTCATCCTTTGCAATGCAATCCTTTCCTGAGTTTCTGAAGTGTTGATGCTTGAAAAGTAGGGAAATGGAAACATGTTAAGATACTGTTCATGGTGATTGTTAGCAGCAGAGGCAGCTTGATCAAGAGAAGTTGTGGTGGAGCTCGGGTTCGGGCGGTTTGGGGTTGAAGGAGGTGGTTCTGGGGGTGCTTGGCGGCATGTGGTCAGAGGGGGAGGTGGTGTTGGTGGTGTTTGGCGCGGTGAGGGAAGGTGAGCGGAGGAGGGTGGTGGCGCAATGGCGGCGGCCACAATTCGATGTTGAAACCATTTATCTTGTGTTGTTGTGATAATTTGATGTTGAAACTATGTGCTTGTGAATTTTCTTGTATTGTTGTGATAATTTGACGTTGAAACTATGTACTTGTGATAATTTGATGTTGAAACTATGCTCTGGTGATTTGTATGACAGTTGGAAAATTTTGTGTTATTAAAGATTTGGGGTTGTATGTTTGAACAATTATTGCAATTAAAAAATTTGTTAATATATCATAAATATTAAAATAAACATCAAAATATTCAAAGATTGATTAATATTAATATTATTATATTTTTTTATTATTTTATATTAAAATAATCTTAAAAATAATATTATTGTATATTATAACTATTATTTATTTAATCATTTGATGTTATGTCAAGTTAAACTTGAATTTAATTGAGCTATAAATATAATATTTTAAAAAGATGTTATACTAAATTGTCCCACTTAAATTGTCCCATTACCCCATTTTACTCCAATTTATCCCACTCAATTATCCTATTGGGTAAAATTACCCCATTGGAACAATTTACCCCAAATTACACCAATGAATAACCCCCCTTACAAAATTTTGAAATTGCTCTTAAGTCCCTCATATCTTTGAAATTGCTTGCAAGTCCCTCAAATCTTTGAAATTTGTTGTGGGTACCTCCAATCTTAAGGTTCTTGCAATTTTGGTTCACCAATGACCAAAATACCCTTCCCTCTTTATCCAACCTGGATCCTCCAAATCCCAAACCTAACTCATGCTACAACCCTACTCATCCCGTGTCCGACCCTCCTTGTCGTCCTTGTCGCCAGCCCCCTCTCTCATAAAATTTCTTTTTCTCTCTGCTACGCTACATAAGATGAATAACAGGGGGGAGAGTTGCCCACATTTGAGTACGATGATTGGAGCTACGGAACAAGAAGCAAGTCGGTTTATCTCAATCAAAGGTCAAATTCCATTAGAGTTTAAACCTCCATATCATTTTGCTCAAACAATATGCAAACACAATGTCTTTGTTAGATAGAGTTTATCAAAAGAGGCTTTTTGAAGAGGGATGGTAAATAATCATTGTTGGCTCTAATGAATTAAAAGTAAGTGAGGCTCGTGATGAGGGGAGGTGGTCGGAGGCAGGCGAGTAAGGTGTTGGGTTTAGGGATTTAGGGGATTCAGGTTAGAGAAGGAGGGGTGTGTATTTTGATTATTGATGGACTTATGAGCAATTTCAAATATTTGAAGGACTAATATGTAATTATTGAATATTTGAGGGGCTAATATCTAAATAACCTTTTTGGATTGATTACATCTTGGTCCCTTTGAAGTATTATTTAGTAAATACAATGATTATATTGAAGTTCGTGTATTCAGATGGATAATCCTAAGATTACTGATTATAATTACACAGGCAACCTTAAAAATTTACGATAGTTTAACACAGTTATTTTGTCGACCTTGGACTCCATTGTTGGATGTTAGATAGAATCACAATTAGGGCTACAATTAGAATTATAACAAAAATTATAGGCTACTGGAGTTGAGATTATAATTATAACAATAAAACTTTACCAGGTAATCATTTCTATAAAAATAATCCTAACGTAAACACTAATCCCAACTCTAACCAAAATCTAACACTAGCTCTGACATTAACGGGCACCCAACAAGAAATTTCAAATTAGCAAAATGTAAATGACGTTGACCTGTCGACAAATTAGCTAAGTTACCGGATTAGTATTCAAACTTGACCTTATTTTTCAACACGGTCTTTATTGTGCTCCAACGTCGATATGGTATTTTGACTTGGCCTTTTTAGCAATAAGCTCATCTTTCTCACTAGCAACGAGGATTCCAATGGACTATAATTTTCTCGAGAAAACGTATTCTATCTCCTTGACCTCTCACAATTATTAAATCTACCATCCTCTCCTTCAACCTCTCTCAATTTTAAATTTCTTCCACCCCTTTACCCAATAAAACCATCTTTAACTATTTCTTTCGCTCTCATCAAATGGAACGCGGTCTTTTATCTTCAACCTCTTACAATTCAAATCAAAACCCTAATCTAAATTGGTATTGGCTTGGATGAAGGTTGTTAGGGTTGGATTGGGATTTGGGTTTGATTTTGGGGAGGTTGAAGGAGAATGAAGGGGCTCTTTGATGAGAGAGAAAGGGAGTCTTATAAGGTAAATAACGGAAAAAGTTTTAATTGGGGGCGAACATTTAATACTTTTGAGAGGTCAACGGGTTGGAATACATTTTCAAAAAAAATGTACAGTTCATCAGAATTCTCACTCCGGGCAAGCAAAAATGGTCTTATCGCTAAAAACGCCAAGCTAAAATACAATATTGACTTTATAAGGAACATCAAAAGCAAACTGTTGAGGGGTGTGTTTTTTCTCGCTTTCACGTGATGCTTATGGAAAGCAGTATGGTAATTTAACCAATTCAATTACGAGTCATTATTCTCATCTACTCTTCTATACAAATGAGAGAACCCAAATTCGCTATTCATGCTACAGTAAATACTACGGTAGCAACATGAAACTGGATAATGTGATTTTTTTGAAAAAATATTGAAGCGCATGAGAATACTGCTACGTAAAGATAGGATTATGCATCAATTTAAAAATACTGTAGCATTTAAATTGGGATTACTGTCACCGTAGTGTACCCGCACGGGCCACGGACTGTCCGCATAAAGAAGCGCAAGAGACTGTTCGTTCCTAATTAAATCCAACTGATCGCAAGTCAAAAATTCCCCCTTTTCTCTCGTCACACCAAAAACCCTAACTCTAAATCTCGAAAAATCCCTTTAAATCTTTCATAAATCCTTTCCATTCTGCTACTATATCCACTCTCCTCGTTACGACGATCATCACGATCTTTTTCTGGAAGAATTTCGTGGAGTATACAGAACTGATTTGAATTAGAAATGGGGATCCTGTCTTGCCTTCGATCAGAGCTTAGGGTTTTATGTTTGGATGGATTCTCGATTATTTCCCCCTTAATTAGCTGAAACTGGTGAGTTAAAGTAGTAATCTTTGATGCTTTATCCCATTTTGTTGCTTTTTCTCTAAGCGATATAGATTTTTTTATTAAGGATCGATTTGTTGCAGTTCTAGTGGACGAGGGAGCAGCTGGATTAGCGTTTTGTTTCTTTTTTCTTTTTGTTTTTTTGGCAGATTACCGCATAACAAGTAATTCTGTGGCTGAATCCATCGTCAGATCTTCAAGGTTGGAACTTTTTTTCTCTCCCTAAATGATGTTTTTTAATCCACGGTTTCTTTAATCTTGCTGCTAATAATAGTTTGATGTCTTTTAATTTGTTAGGCGGTGCTCTTGTTACTGAGAGCACAGCTTAACCTTTTGATATATCTAACTCCTGCGAAAGTTCTTTTTTTAATAACTTTTTTGTTCCAGCTAATACTCTTGATTATGTGTAATTGTATGCTTTACCTTGAATCTTCAAAGCTTTAGTTTCAGTGTTTTGTTGGAATCTAACTAACTTCTAACTAAATGGGGGAAAATGTTTAATTGTTTTGAGTTGGGTCCCTATCACATAGTTGCAACTATAATCGAAATGAAGATTGCTGTAACAACCTGTTGAAAATTGTGTAGAACATTGTCTCCCTAATTGAAGTAGTATAATAACATGATATGATTTTTGTTGATTCTTTTTTTAATCATTTTAGAAAGTAGCTAAGAATTATTAATAGTTTTATAATGACGTGAAGATTTTGGAAAAGCAGTTGATGTGAACACATTGATGTTGGTTCCAGTTACATGTATCGGGAACATGTAGTTGAAAATGCAATTCATTTCCAATTGCAAGAAATCAAGAACACCCTAAATCAATTTGATGGACATCTCTATGTTTTGAATAAAATTTGTAATTTGTTTTCTTCTTCTAGGTTGTAGTGCCGTGGCATTAATTTCAGTTGGAGAAAGGACATCCTATTTGCGAAGATCCAAGGTTTGATTACATTAAATACAAAGTTTTTAATCAGGTCACCATAACTTTAACCTTTGTATCAGCTGTTTATTTATTTATTGGTAGGTTGAACTGTTACTATCACAAAATTTTGGAAATGGAGACCTTAGTTGCTGTTGCTCAGCATCAGAACCAATACTGTAGTAGAAGAAAATCCTGGGCATTGAACCAGTTTTGTTCTTCTCCGTCAAGAGGACCCAAGGGGATCAATTGCTGTACCTTTGAAGCCGGTCTTGGTATCCTTCAATCCCCTCCTTCAGTCGTGTCTTCATTCAACCACAACTATCATGAACCGCAGTCTCCCTGCTTCTACTCAGAACCACCAAAACCAAGCAGAAGAAGCAATCTGATTGCTATTAGTCCCAAACCCACTAGCAAAGGACCCAGCTTTAATGATGGTATCGAGGAATTCTCTGACTCTGAGCTTTGGGCTGGTCCAGCTTACTCCAATTCACCTGCTCCTAGTTCTTTACCTATTCCTAAATTTTCTCTTCGCCAGAAGAGGAGTGTATCCTTAGAATTGCCTCTTCCATCTTTGGGTATTGAACTGCCACCTGTTGCCAAATCTGCACCGCCTTCACCTTCAAGAGAGTCTTTCTCTTCTGCCACTGAGAATCTGAGGAGAATTCTCCATTTGGATATTGCGGATGACTGACAAAATTTGGGTTTGGTTGTTGTACATATACCCTTTGTATATATCCCTACTTAATTACTGAATGGTCAAGTGCGTCTTTACAAGGTTATCCAGAAGTTGAATGTTATTTCAGTAGTACATCTTTAAGATAAGGGGAATGATGTTGGTCTAATCATAATGGAAGAAGATATCGGGACTTTCAAGCTTGGTATGTGGAAAGTTTGGTAATTTTCATTGGAGCCGTACTGGCTGTAGTGTTCTTCGTTTTCTCAGGGTTTGACATCTTAAATGGGAATGGGAAGTGGAAGGAAAAATGGTTGAAGAACTAACATGGTTGGAGGTTTGTTATGGCTAGCGCTCAGCTGCATTCTTCTTCTAGTGTTGTCCGCTGACAGTTTAAGCAAGGAGTTGAGGTTCTGTGTAGGTGTTTCATAGAGATACCCTGTACATGTAGTAGCATGAAGTTAGTTAATTTTTCACATTGTGTAGTTAGATATCTGTAGGTGGTTTGCATGTGTCCTTTCTAGTGTGCATTGAATTGGTTAGCAGTTTCCTTTTGCTTCCCCTTTGCCACTCTTACTTAAGTTCTGACTTCCTCTCTCACTTCCTCTGAACTTTCTGGTGCTTTGCAAGGGCATCAAGTTCTCTTCGCCACTTTCCTGTTTTTTTTGAAGGAAATTGTTTGCGACGGTGAACTCTAAACTCTCATGCTCTTCTCTCTTACAAAGTCTCCTATCTAATGCATTCTATAGTATCGGTCTGAAATAGAGTGGTCAAACTTCCATATTCTGGAGTTCTTTGTTTTGGTATGACATCTTTTCCCTTCTCTCGATTAGTGGTAGCAGTTGCATCATGTAGTATCAGTCGAAGTCGAATTGTTAGGTGAGCTCATTGCAGTGTATCAAATTATGACATCCGTGCTGATGACTTTGTCGAGGTATGATTCATCTCCTACCTAGTGTACTATTGTTTAATGTGTATTGGATTGGAGGCGTTGATCACATTTAATTATGGTATTTGGTTGCCTATTTTGTAGGTGCAGTGCTTAGTTGCTACTTTTGCTGAAGATTATTAGAAGATGTTTGAAGAGAAGGGAAATTATTCTATCAGGAAAGGAATGCTATTAGTTTTACCTTTTACCTATTTCTATTGTAAGCAACAGTTTGAACTATCAAGTGGAACATAACTATCTTTTTTGTGTATTTTCTTGTACAACATCAATATGTAGAGTTTACCTCAGTGTTATATGAACTTAATGTATTTTTAACCATATCAATCTGTTTTCAGTGTTATTGAGACTGCATGTTTCACATAAACTACTAAATTTGTCCTTAATCCCTAAAAATTTTAGTCCTTACATAACCCCCTAAAACCATTGAGTTTGTTCTCAGCTGACCTTAGGACTAGAAACAAAAGAAGACTCTTAGAGCCGCTGAGAGGGGGGTTTTGACGCAAACATCACTTGTGCTTTTACCTTGGCAGCTTCAATCCAACCTCGCTTTGCGTATCAATTATCAATACCCGTTCACCACCCTAACAAGAGAAGGAAGCCTCTGATAAATGGAAGTCCGACGTAGAGACATGCTATATCTAACTAGTGCATCGAACCTTGACTCATCTATTATTAAAAGCAATAAAAATGTCTTAGGGATCCAAAAACATGAGATCCATGTCCCATGATAAGGTGTCGGCTCACTGTCCCATGATGTACTGTTCAAGCTCCCTATCTCATGTCCCATGCAAGGTCCCATGTTTTTAAGTCGCTGAAGCACCACCCTAATATTAAATATCTTATTTAGAAAGTTAGAGCGTGTTTATTTCGTTTCTCTCCATTGGTCAAATTATCATCCCTAGCTCGACCAACCTATCGGTCGTCTGCATGTATCAAACATTAATTACGCCCATGGATAACGTCGGAAATCTTCGCTCCCCTTCCTTTAATAAAAGCATCCAATTAATATACAACTCAATCTCTCGACGCCACCATGGCCAACCTCCTGCCTCTCCCACCATCCTCACGGCCGCCGCCCCTCCTCCGTGCTCGATCGGCCAGCCCAAGCCGGGCCTCACTCTAGACCCTCATCAGCCGCTTCTTCGCCCCGAACGCTCCCGCTTTACTCTCGCAACCGCACCACGATCCAGCTCCGCTCGGAGCTCGTTCGACAGTCGCCTGAGCGCGGCGCCTCACACATCGAGCGCTCGATCCGGACGCCGCTCGGACCGGCCCCGACATCGCCGCCATCGCCCACCGTCCACTCGCGGGTGACCCGGCGCGGTACACCTCGTCGTCCGTGTCCATCGGCAACGCAGACGCCGCAATCCTACTACCTCACCATGGACACCGCCAGCGGCCTCACTGGACGCAGTGCGTCCCTTGCGACCCCTGCTTCCCACCAGTCGGGCCCGGTAATTCAACCCCCAGCTCTCGCCCCCTTCGCCACTCCTGCCCTGGGCGCCGACCCCCTGTTGCCGCAGGCCGTACGAGCTGCCACGACGCGGCGGTGCACCTACTCCATACACCTACCTCGACGGCTCCACCGGGCGCGCAGTCATCTCTTAGGACCGCCTTCACCTTCAAAACCTCGACGCGCTACCCGGAATCGTCCAGGCCTTGCCTTCGGCTGCCACCCACGGGAGCTCCGACCCTCCGCGTCGGCTTCTACGGGCGATCCGTGCGACGGCATCCTCGGGCCCTCGGACGCCAGCCCGGAGTCGTTCGGCACCCAGACTCGGGCCCCCGCTCCGGCGAGGTTCTCGTACTGCTCCTTGCGCATATGAGCAGCAGCAGTAGCAACTTCCTGCGCTTCGGCGGACGACATTTACGATGAACGGCGCCCCCGGTTCAGGGACCCCGTCCGAGACTCGCCACGGGTTCTACTTCCTCGGGCTGAAACGACCTCAGCTGTGGACGGCGACACCTCAACATCGCGCCTGCGGACTTCGACCCTGCGTCCGACTGCAGCGGCAGTGGGGTCATCATCGATACGGGGCCAGCCGAGACCCACCTGTCGGGCCTGCTTACGCCGTTTTGAAGGAGGTGATGGTCGCCTATTTCGACCGGCTGAAACTCGCGCCGGTGGACGGCAGGGAGCACGGACTGAACTCCGAGGTGTGTTACGAGATGCCGCGGCGATTCGATAGTTTCCCGTCCATGACCTTCCATCTGAGAGGGGCGGACCTGAGGATCGAGCCGAGCGCGCTCTTTTTCGTGGGGGATTTCCGCGAGTGGTTCTGTCTGATGATGGAGCCGAGTGACGATCTGACGATCATCGGAGCGTTTCAGCAGTACAACACGAGGTTTACCTATGATCTCGTGAACAGGGAGCTGCTGTTTGTCCCTGAGGATTGTTCTCTTCGTGGGTAAAATTAATTGGTCTTATATATTAATTAACCATGTTTTGGCCCCATCATTGCGTTGATCATACAAGTAATAAAAATCAAGCAAAAGTTTTAACGCAAGGATCATTTTTGTTGTGCTTTTTATGAGAGAGGATGCTTGTTACCAAAAAGAAATACAACATGATACATTTTAGATATAGTAGCGCGTGTACATGCGCACTGTTTCTTAGCACTGTTTACTCGGAGAACTAATGTGCGATTTGAGAGGGTTGAACTCAATTTTTCGATCTCCCCTGATAGTTGATCTCCGTGTTGTGGATCAAAACCTGCACTTCGCTACACCAATAACAGGGGTTAGAGGCAACGAAGGTTGTTTCCTCCTGTGTGCCCTCCGAACGCTCAAGTCGGTAATGTTTGTTGGGTGTACGAAACAATCAAATCGAACCTTTGCCCTTCCGAACCTTGTGTTGAAAGTAGGAAAGTAGGAAAATTCACCACAAATAAAGATCAAAACTTGCAGGAATAATAAAGGAGACGAACACACAGATTTAACGAGGTTCAGCAACGTGCCTACGTTCTTGGGAGCCACACCACACAATTCTTTTATTGATTGAAGAAGAAATACAAGCTCTCAAACTAAGATTTTATCTCTCTAAGATCTCTCTGTCAAAAGCTCTCTCTTTTGATGGTTTTCTGATGCTCTACAAACCCTAAAAACGTTTGGGTATTTATATCAAACCCAGCGCAAACAGAATCTGGCAAACAGCATCCCGGTCGACCACGCAGGTATCGCGGTCGATCGCGGCGGTCGACCGAACCAAAATCCGAGAGCAGAAAATATTATAGGGTTGGTGCGCGACCGTGACGGTCGACCGCCTTCAGCTCCCAGCTCTTCCTGACCCTTGTGCTGACTTGTGGTCGACCGTCGCTGACTCGCGGTCGACCGTCAGGCTGATTGGCAGTTATCCTGGACTTTTTGGACTGTGTTCTTTGTGATTCCAGCTTCGGCTTTAACTTTGGATCTACACTTTAGACTAACAATCTTCCACTTGGAGACCAAAGTGCCATCAATGAGTTTACCCGAACTCTCCTCTTCTTCGCATGTATCTTCTCCTCCCCGAAAAAAATCCTTTCTTCAATCATCAATATCCCGGCGATCTCGCTGATCCTCGTAGTGTGGCTCCCCCTTCATCTTCTACTCGTGAAGAACAACTAAAGTTGCGCACAACTCTAATTTCTCAATGGTGACTGCCTTCGTTAACATGTCCACCGGATTGTAACTTTCTGTCTTCAACTAGCGAACGTATAAAATGATATTTAACGTCGATGTGCTCTGTTCTGGCATGATATACTGGATTTCTTGGCAAGATGTATAGCGCTCTGATTATCACAATAAAGAACACCTTTTCCTTGCTTCAGATCCAACTCTTCCAAGCACCCGTTCAACCAGATCATTTCATTGCTTGTTTCGGTCACCGCGACATACTCAGCCTCGATTGTAGATAAAGTCATAATCTTTTGCAGAAGTGAGACCCAGCTCATTGCTGTTAATGCTAAGGTATAAACATACCTCGTGGTGCTTCGCTTCATATTATGATCACAGGCGAAGTCCATATCCACGTATCCCTGCAGCACCAACTCCTTCCTCCTGAAACATAGTGGTTTGTTCGTTGTTCCCCTCAAGTACCACAATATCCACTTCACGACCTCCTAATGCTGCTTCCCTGAATTGCTTGCAAACCTGCTCATAACTCTCACTATATGGGCGATGTCCGGCCTCGTGCAAACCATCGCGTACATGAGACTCCCAATGGCCGAAGAATATGGCACTCTACTCATATGCTCTCTATCTGCATCTGTCTTAGGCGATTGATCCTCAGATAGCTTGAACTGGCTTCCAAGGGGCGTGCTAACAACTTTAGCATTCTGCATGTTTAAACCTCTGAAGTACCTTCTCAATGTATTCAACTTGGCTCAATCTCAACGTCCCTTTAGCTTCATCCCTACTGATTCACATCCCTAGAATCTGCTTTGCTGCACCCAGATCCTTTATTGCAAACTTCTTTGCTAGCTGCTTCTTCAAGCTGTTTATATCTTCTAAACACGGTCCTGCTACCAATATGTCATTAACGTATAATAACAAAATACTGAAGCTGGACTCAAACATTTTGGAATAACAGCAATGATCCGAATTGCATCTTCTGTAGTCATTGTTTTGCATGAAGTTATCAAACTTCTTGTACCACTATCTCGGAGCCTGTTTTAAAACATATAAGCTCTTCTTGAGCTTGCACACCATCTTTTCTTTTCCTTCTTCAATGAAGCCAACATGCTGCTTCATGTAGATTTTTTCATCCAAGTCACCATGAAGAAAGACAATCTTTAAATCTAACTGCTCAAGAAAGAGGTCTTCTGTAGCTACCAAACTCAACACCACTCTGATGGTTGTGAGCATCACGACAAAGGAAAATATTTTCGTGTAGTCCACTCCTTCCCGCTGTTGAAACCTCTTCACTACTAATCTGGCCTTGAATCTCTTGCTTCCATCGCTCTCCTGCTTGACCCGGTAGAATCATTTGTTATGTAAGGCCTTCTTCTGTGCAAGTAGCTGGGCTAACTCCCATGTCTCATTAATGAGTAGAGAATTCATCTCCTCCTGCAAATATGGATTTTTTCACCAATTCTTTGTAAAACAAATTTGTAAAATTACAGATATTTTTGAGAGCAACGGTTTGTGAAAGAAGTGAATTTAGATGTCTGAAATCATAGACTAGATATAAGTTTGAAAAAATTGTTTCCAACAATCACACCCTTTGGAAAAAAATAGTCTTCTTTCAAAAGTCACTTGCCTGTTGATATTTTAATAATTTGAAAATTTAAAACAACAATAACAGTAATAAAAATTAATATATTCAAAAATATATATAGTAAAAAAGCCGGAATATTTGAACGGCAAAAGTGCTAAGCACATCTAATAATCGCATCAAAATCGCGCTACCCGCACGCGGGTTTAGATCGAGGTCTATGCCTTGACCCATTTATCAAAGCCAAATATTCATTAAATGTTTTTAAACCTCTAAAAGAATACTCAAATATCCGATGTGCGACTATCTTTATTTTTTTTACAAACAAATACTAACAGCAATCTCGGGCACATATCGCCCATATCAAGCACTTGATCTGGATGCACGGTCCTGATCATTTCAAAATCACCACCGTCCGCCTGTCCGTCCGCGCACATAGCGGGCTATACCTCGCCTTCATATCCATCGGCACGGACGATGCCAAGCAGTCCTAAATCCCCGTGATGGATACTCGGCAGCAGACTTACCCATCTGGACGCAATTTTGCTACCCCTGCTACCCCCCAATCATCCCTAGTCTTTGACCGCAAACTCTCACCTTCTTTTTGCCTTTTTCTGCCCTGCAATGACCCCCTTGTGCACGTTAACCCATGAATGTCACGATGAGCCGGCCCCTACGTCATTGGCGTCATCGGTACCCTTCACCTTTGAAACCTCCACGGGCCGGCCTCGCTAGCTTTCGGCTGTACGCATGATAACGCTGGCCTCACCCTTTTCACCGGCAAAGTGGAGGGCCTTAGGGACCTCGACGCTAGTCCATTATCATTCGTCACCCGACTCTGCCCTCGCTCCGGCTGAAGGTTCCCGTACTGCCTCCTCCTTCCCGGCGTAGCCTACAGTAGCTACTTGTGTTTCGGAGATGATATCGCAATGGACGGGCAAATTCACGGAACCCCAATGGAGGATCGTGATGGGTTATACTATCTCGGTTTGACTTGTTGAGGTGATTAATATGCGAGTATAGTCCTACATCGGATAAAATAAGAAAGAGTGATGTGTTTAAATAGGAGTTTTGGTCAATGCCTAATAGCTATAGTTTTTGGATTAAAATTAATTCCTAACCTCTGTTTAAGGCCCATTAACTCTAGACCATCTGATATGATCTGCTTACAATGTTGTGAAGGAGGTAATGCCCGACTGTTTCCGACGCATGTTGACCTAAGCGAGCGAGTGAACGGCAGGCATGATCGTGGTCTGTGTTAGGTTATATGGAGCCTAATTTTCAGACCCGACCAATTCTCTTAAGTGATCGAATCGTTAGAACCCCAACTGCGCGGATCGAACTAATACCCTAGCTATAAAAGGGTGATTAGGGCGCAGCTTGTAAACTATTTAGAACATAGTAGAATTTTACCTGCGGCGGCCGTGGACGTAGCTTCTCTCATCGAGAAGTGAACCACGTAAATTCTGTGTGTTCTGTGATTTGTTTTTCCTCCCTTCCCTCTCTCATCTCTATTTCCAAATTGCATTAGAGGTTTGAAAATCCCTAACAAGTGTTATCAAAGCGGCCGGGTTCGGCGCAGGCGATTTGAGGTTAGATATGGGATCCGAGAAGAAGACGTCAAAGATCGAGAAGTTTGATGGGACAAACTTCGGGTACTGGAAGATACAGATGGAGGACTACCTCTATCAGAAGGATTTGTATTTGCCGTTGGGAGAGAAGCCGAAGGATATGAAGGATGTAGAGTGGAAGTTGTTAGATCGGAAGGCCACTGGAGCAATCAGGTTGACCTTGTCCGTATCTGTAGCCTTCAACATCAAGAATCAGAACTCGGCGACGGATCTCATGGCTGCTTTATCTCTTGGTTCCGCCACTGGCTATAGAGATACAATGTATTTTTAAACTAAATGTTTAAATTGCTATTTTTTGTCTTTTTTATACTAATGTCATGGCACCACAAGCAGTAGACGAGTTTCTTGCCTACAAACCCAAAATTTTATCTTCATTTATTTTTAAGATAACTCACTTGTGAAAAAGATTTCTGTCCATGAACTCAAATTTTTTTTAAACCCATCCACTTTCAAAGTGTAGGCAGACACAAACTACTCCACCAAATTAATTTTAGATCCACTATCTTAGTTTAACTGTTTGGTATATAGTGTAATTAATCGCAATAATTTTATTGCAACTTGCTATATCGTTTGTTGTGAGTGCTTAATCTATAGTGCACTTTTAAACCAAATTGCTGAAGTTGTTGTTTTTCTGACAGTTGCATTCGAAAATTTACAGAGTTAAGTTTGATTACTGAAGCCCATCTTAGGCCCACTGGCCTATAAAACTTATGTTTAAATCAAATTGGGCCACCATCTGTCTTCTCTAGAGAAGACCGCTTTAATTTCCTTTTCAAAATCAAACCCCCACCCCTGCCCCCTCTCCTTTCAATGCCGAAGGCAACTCCTCTCTCTTCAATGTCGGAGGCAACTCCGATGAGAAGCGATCTAAGCAGCAGCAGCAGCAGCAACGAATACAGGAAGCGTCTTCGTTCTCATCAAACCCCAACTCGTGTAACCGTAAGAAGATCCCCTCGATTTCACCCCCAAATTACTAAAAATCTGGTAGAAATCACACCAAATCCAACAAAGGAACCCTCTTCCCGCAAAACCCATCTCCGATCTCCCCCAGTCTCTCCAAACCCAACTCGGATTTCTTCTCCCAAGAAAACCCAACAAAGGTGTCCGACGAAATGCCTCAGTGAGCCGTTGAGATCCATCAATAACCTACAGGGGTCTTTGAGGCGTTCGCGGAGGTTATCCTCTCTTCCTTTGTCCCAGATTTCAAATGGGTCGAATAAAGAGAACGTGGGTATTGAAAACTTTGGTGTGGAATTGGTCAAAGAGAAGAATAATGGTGAAAAGAAAAGAGGGGAAAGAGATGGGCTTCTGAATTTGAAGATTTTTGAGAAGAAAGAGAATGTGGGTGTTGAAAATCTTGGGGCGAAAATTGTAAAAGAGAAGGATAATTTTGAAAAGAGAAGGGGAGAAAAAGACGGGCTTGTGAATTTTAAGAATAAAGAAAATGTGGGTATTGGAAATTTTGGTGTGAAAATGGAGAAGGAGAAGAATAATGTTGAGAAGAAGAGGAAAATGGAGCGATGTTGTGAAGAAGGTATCCAGAGTATCCAGAGTTGTGGCTCCGATGATTGGACGAGACAGCAAGAGGCTGCCCTTCAGCGCGCTTACTTGGCAGCAAAGCCATCACCACATTTCTGGAAGAAGGTTGCTAAGATGGTAATTCTCGAGCCCGTCTCAAGATTTTTTTTTATGGGTGTATACTTTGATAAATTAGCTGCTAAGATTTTCATGGAATTGCTTGAATGCATTCAACATAGTTTATATCCTTTCAATTGAGTACTATTAACCCTGAGTTGCTGAAGCTAGCCTGCAAATCTAATTACATAAAGTTCTTATTATGTCCTAGATGCTATTTTCATTGTGTATATATAGATTTTTGTAATGATCGCTTTTAGATGCAAGCAAATGAACTTTGTGTTGCTCAAGTTAGTATTTTTAGCTAATGCTCTTCCCATGTTTCTACTTTTGTTGTTATACCTTTATTGTTTTTGGATTAAGACAAATCAATAGTAGTACAATAGGAGTCATATATTTGACTATTTTCATTTACATATGCCATGTGCTTTGCAAGTCTGGGGAGCAATTCACAACTATTTCTTTCAGATGCATCAGTAGATATTTTGTGTGCTCAGATCTCAAAGTTGAGTGAATGTTTTTTGTTTGTTAATGATAATATTATCTATATGTTGGTGCCTGGTCAAATTATCTTATGGTTTTAAGACAAGACATTGTTTATAAGAAAATCATGTTTAGCCTCATGTCGGTGAATATTTTGCTCGATATAAAGGTCTTAACTCAATCTTAAAGCTCGAACCTTGCATGATCCAATCTCATCGAGCTTAACTGTTCATATTGAGCCACACATCAGTCAGCAACATTATGTACAACCATACACAAGTATAAAATCCTGCATGAATACTCTAACGTAAGATCTGAAGTGTGATGTGGGACCTTTATATAAGATAATAAGAACATCAAATATGCATTATTCCTTTGATTTTATGCCTAAGCCCTTTGTAAAAAAGTCCAAAAACATGGGTTCTTGTATTGATTATGATGTCGGGAAAATGATAAATTCCAGAGATGAATAGCTAGGTTTTCTTTATAGCAAATGAATACACGCGCACGCACACACGCACGCACGCACACATACACGTAAGTGTAAAATAACTACTTAGTACTCTCCCAAACTGGAGCACATAAATCAATTATTCACAGTTAGTCACATAGAGCACAGAACTGAAATATGATTTTTAGGCAATGCTTTAATAGAAATATCACTCATCTGACCGAGTGACGGCATCCTTGAATTGCATCATTGCGTTAGTAGAAATATCACTCATCTGACCAAGTGACAGTGTCCCCGAATTGCACCATTTCACGAACAAATTGAGAACAAATCTAAATATTCTAGGCTCTGTCACGAAGAACAGGATGACTAGCAATATATATTACATTTTGATTATCACAATGCATCACCATAGATTGAGGTAGAAACACATCCATCTTTTAAAGAAAAGGCTGCATCCACATCATCTGATCTGCCGTATGAATCCTAATATGTTATTCAGCCTCAACATTAGACCATGCAACAATCTACTTCTAAAGTTGCTAGATCACCAGATTCCTCCCATAAAATTACAATAGCCACTTAATGGAATGTCAATCAATAAGATCTTCTACCCAATCAACATCCGAATCAATGTTACTGAAGGCACTAGGTAGACTAGGCGTTTGAGTCAGCGACTAGCGTCTGGACACCTAGGCGTATGCCTAGACAGTGCCTAGATATTTAGCTAATTTCTAAATTATTTAATTATAATAATTAATAAAAATATGTATTAAATTCATATGAATTTGCCAAAAAAGGTAGCAACCTTAGATCCATAATAAATCATGCATACTTAAATACTAAATAGCCAAAATAATAACTAACAAGGTTATAGAAAGTGGTAGAAGGCCTAGGCGCTGGACCGACGCCTAGAGCCTAAGAGATTTTTTTTAATTATAATAATTGATAGTAAATGTTAATGTTATAGAAAGCTTAGGTGCCAGACTGATGTCTAGGCAGATTTCTTTCTTCATTTAAGTGGTGATTGATGAGTTTTTGCTAAAGGTCGGAGGAGGTAGTGGAGGTGTTTATATTTGAAGGTTAAAGAAGTTTGAAGGAGGTTGGAGAACGTGGAGGCTGCAACACAGAAAATCACGATCAAGACCTAAATGGTGCAGTTCACATAAGCAGACAATGGTTTCTTAAACACTCCTAAAATCTATGTGGACAGCCTAGGTATCACCTAGGCAATAGGCGTTAGTTAGGCGACCTAGGTACCGCCTAGGTCTAGGCGTACGCCTAGGCGGACTAAACGGAGGCTTTTTAAAACAGTGATTCAAATAATCAATGACATCCAGATAAGCTCAAGGGACAAAGCTTAAACAAGTTCATTAGGGGAAAAAAATAAAAGTAAAGGGCTTCTTCTTATTCGCTTTTAGGTGTATTTGTAGATTTTATATAATTGGTACTGTCCTTTGTGAAATGCATTTAGAAAACTTTGTATTTCATTATTTTCTTGATGAATATTCCACCAAAGACACTACGCATATAGTCCTAACTCTTCGATCAATTAGATTTTGAAGAAAATTCCAAACTGTGAAGTGTTTTCCTCTTGGGCTTCTTTCTAGCTTACATGCTGCCTTTATTTTCTTTTTTTCTTTTACTTTTTTTTTTCATTTGAGGAGTCACAAGTGTTTCTCAAGGAAATGTAACACTAATCAAGATAAATAAGCATGTGTTGCATGAGTTTTTCCTATTAACCAAATCATGCTGCTTGCCATTGTTTAAAAAATAAGCATGCAAGCTTGAATTTGTAAGTAAGTTTCCCCCAATCCAATATTGTTGGGCATGACACATGTGTAACTGTGTTCATCAGCATCAGTCAAACCTTTTAGCACCTTTGAATTTGTAATAATACGTTTGTTTGTCAAAAGCTAATTGTTTTCTCTCATTTTACTGTTTTAGATTTTTTTGTTGAAAGTCATTCGAACATATAAATCTGTCTTAAATGTACATATATTAAAGGGGAAAACACATGTATATTAGTCATGTCTTCATGTTTGGTTTTTGGATAGTTCCATGTTTGACAAACATGGGCCATGCCCATATTAGAGCATGATACTTGAGTACATGTCTGTGGACTGCAGATTATAGCTTAAGATTTGGTGCCTATAGATATTTCTTTTTGTTTTTCAACTGATGTTATAAATGTACATATATTAAGGGGGGAAAACACATGAATGATCATGTCTCATGTTTGGTTTTGGAGAATTGCCATGTTTGATATCCATGGCACTGTGCTAGGGGTGCATACATTTCAGATTTGATATTTACCATATCAATATCCATTTACCAATCATGGATACAGACACATGTACGGATATGCCTTGGTAAGGAAAATTCATATCCATGTCCGCTAAAATCGGATACAGATATGCATGCGGATATGTAAGTGGATATAAATTTCGTTACAAAATGGATATGAGAAAATTAGATGATATTGGAAAAAATATAGCTCATATGAGACAAGAGAGTTCGTTATTATGTACGATATATCTGAAAAGCTAAGATTAGATACTTTGATCATAAAAAATTAACCTCAAATCCATTAACCTAAGGATTAAAATATAAGTTGCATGGACATGGGTATGGGTGCGGGTATGGGTACAGGACACGACAAATTGTGAAATGTAGGGTACAAGGAGATGGCTACATATATATTGAAATTAATCGTTTACTTGAGAGCATTATTATTTTTCAATTCATGTGCTATTAGAATTTAATTTTCTATCATATTTTAAAGTTTCTTTTATTATGTTGATTATTATAAATTGGAAACTGCTCTTTTTTTAACAAGACACTCGAAACACCCTTTTAAATCATAGTTTTTGTCTTGGATACGGGCTGAAATAACTGAACTCATGTCTTAACGAGTTTTAAAGAATTGACATGAAGCGTAGGATGTACGTCCAAGAAATGTATGACAAATATTTTAAATTCAAACATATATCATACAATTGAGTACATGTCTGAGTAAATGTATGCACACATCCAAGGAGTGTCGATGAAATTTGGGTATGGATATTTCCTTGGATATGGATATTTTTGTGCACCCCTACACTGTGCCCATATGGAGCATGATAATTGCGTGCATGGCTGCAGATTCTAGCTTACAATTTTGCGCCTAGTGATATTTCTTTTGTTTTCTAATTGATATTTTATTGCTTGATTATCAATAATAATTCTTTGAAATAATCTAGATTCTAGAGTGTGTGTATTAGTCTGTATAGCAAACAATATGAAGTCGTCACGTGAACTTGAACTATTATTCAGAAAGTAGGCACATTTTCTTACAGGTGAATTGCTGTTTTCATTATTGATATACCCTGTACATTAATGCATGTTGTATGTCATATAAACCATGGATAATTTGGCCATATATTCTGTGTCTGTTTAGTAGCTTTTCAGAAATACTGAATAAAGCGCATTCAAAAGTACTAACGGTTGAGGCAGATATGTTATGGGCATCACACATAGATGTTAAAAACTAAATGAAAGTAGAGAAATGAAAGTAGCCTTCGATGTTAAAAACTAACCTTTTTATCATTACCTTACAGTTCGGCATGCAGATATAAAAATGTTTGAAGAACCAAAACTCAATTACAAAACTAATGGTTTCATTAGATTTTGGGGGGGGGGGGGGGGGGGGGGGGGTTGGTTGTGTTTGAGTTTAAAGCGGCATTTAGATAAAGGGGTTTCTCAAAAACAGGGTATAGATGATGTGGATTTCTTGTAACTTAAACTACTTTTTTCTACCCTTGCTTTAGTTGCAAGATGCATTGCATAGATGCTATTCTTATGCTAAAAGTTCCTATTTTATATCATAAATTTTTACAGGTGCCAGGAAAATCTGCACAGGACTGCTTTGATCGAGTCAATAGTAGTTTCGACACTCCACCTCAACCACAACCTCGTTCAAGGGCAATAAAGTCCAAGCTGTCTCCTATAAGCAATTTCAGTTTATCGTGCAGTAAACCTATTCAAAATCCTAGCCAACCAGTTAAAAAGCTCAGCAGCAGAAAAAAGAGCCTTGTTGCACAAAAAACTGTAAGACACTTTTTGAAAAAGCACTCAGAAAAGGATCAAAATCACCAAGTAGATCATTTCTCAGTTCTGGAAACTTCTCCAGATGCACTCGTTGTGGATTTACTGGAAATAAATTCACATATAGACCCAACTTGTCCGCTGAGTCCTCCTAATTTCCTGCAGAAGTGTAGTGGAGGATTATCTTCAGGTCATCAGAAAATGCTCTCAAGATTCAAGCCAAATAACCCGAGTCCTGAAGTTCTAAAGAGGGTCAAGAACGTAGCATTGCATGAGAAATATATCGATCAGCTGCATAATAGAGATGCAAGGAGAAAATCTGTCGCTGCTAGAGTTTGCAAGAATGTGGATGAGGTGAAAATTGGTGGGCTTAAAGCTGCTAAAACTGCTCTCATGTCTGAAGCAAGAGAGTTTATCAGTCAATTTCAACACATGAGAGCCAATTGTCAGTGTGACGCTGACATTGATGATGATGATGATGAGGAAATGGAGGAGGAAGATGATGAATGAGGAGTATTGTGCAGGAATACGAGGAACTTATATTGAAATTTGATGCAGGAACTTGTATTGAAATTTGATGCAATCGGAGCATTTGTTGTGTAGTTTCTAAGTATGCCCATTGTTTCCTATTGATGAGATTTTAGATGTATATACCATTCCTCGTTCTTAGCGAACTTTTCTATATGTATATAATGTTGAGTTCATGGTATTCTCTGGAAATGACTTAGCATCTTTTTCTCCCATCTATATGACATTGTAGCTAAGTTTTCCCTTTTTAGTTATACCGTGGAAACTATCAGACTAAAAGACTTCTACTACTCGAGTGTTTGTATATTTTACGTGCCCTTGCTTTGACTCATTTTATTAATCTCAGGTAATCAGCTGAACTACTCTCCATATTCCATTAGGCTTTGGAGCTTTAATGTATTTTTACAATATGGTCTGGTTTTTTTTATTCAAATCGTAACAGGTAGACCTTAGTATTCCTATCTCTTGGGACTACATATTCTTTCAAAACACCTTGTTAGTATCGTCAGGAGAATGGAGGAGGAGCTCTCCTCTCCATCTCCTCCAATCTCTTGGAAGTTGATGCAGTTGCTGCTGCTGATGTTGATGATGATCTTTCATTTGTGCAGCTATTGGAGGAGGAAATGATGGAGGTGGAGCAAAGACTGAGTGAAGAGGCAGAGAAGAAAAATAAGAAGCTCGCCATATTTCAATGAATCAGCACCAGTTGCAGTCTCTGATGGAGAAAAGATGTGCCAAGAGGCAGAGGATAGAACAAGAAGAAGAAGAAGAAGAAGCTTATCAGGCCTCTGTTGTTGACAGTAACAACGGGTTAACGATGACCTTAGCATGAAACTCTGTTCCCAGCAGTGGAGGAAAGAAGTGTGAAGGATGAAGAAGAAATGATGTCAGCCATGCAGGAGTGCTTGAACCCGCCATCGCCTGCTTATGCTGTCGATGAGTACTGTTATGATTTACAAGCACGGGGCATCTGCGAGGACTTAGTATTTTAGAGTTCAAGATTAGTTATACACAAAGTTTGCATCTTTATATGCATCACTATGCACTTTTAATTAGAGTATGAATCATAATTTGCAAATGCAATCCTTTTAATTAGAGTATGAATCATAGTTTTCACAATCTGCAGTTGCTGCCATCGATCATTCATACGTGAAAAATTCCGTCCGAATGTTTCGCTATAATAATTACATACTAATTTTAGAGCTTTTTAACAAATAATATTTATTAAATTTGCTACTAAATCAATCGAATTTCTTTTTCAAATTTATATTAATTCTATTTTAAAATAGAGTTGGGGCATTTCTAATGAAAATTTTAATAAATATTAACAGTTAGAAAGGTCTAAAATTAGCATGCAAGTATCTTAGAGAAGCACTCGGGTAAAATTTTTCACGTTTGCATGCTCAATGATAGTAAAGTGCAAATTTTGGAACTTTATGGTTTTTTTTACCGAAAAGCAACTTGTGGTATTTAATTGCCAAAACGGGAAACTTTATGATATTTTTGTGCAATTTAGCCCTTAATTTCCCCGATATTACTGAAGCCTTGAACTTAAATTGGCTTCTTACGGTTCATGCATGAGATCCAGTCGGGATTTGCTCTATAATGTCTTAAGATTTTAGATAATTTAAAATCTAAGCATTATTCATATGAACTTGGGCAATAAATACTAGCGCCAAGTGATCCTAATGATACCCAAATTTGGAAAGCCGTAGTTTAAATTCTAGCTAGCGCTAAGTAAGCAATCCTAATGATACCCAAATTTAATTGGAAAGCCGTAGTTTAAATGCGCATCCGTGTCCTACGAGGTTTAGGAAGATTAAGCTCCACAGGCTTATAAATTAATATGAAGCCCCAAGTGATCCAATTAACCTCAGTATCTTCACCTTAAATATCAATCAAGAAGTGAGGCGGGAGAGAGAGATCGAGAGAGAGGCGACCAGGGGTTTGATCAATCTTGCATTGTGCTTCAATATCGACGTTGAGAGCCAGATTTCGAAGTGGGTTTCAGGTTTCGTCCGACGGAAGCCGAGCTCGTCGATTTCTACCTTCGGAGGAGGACGCGAGGAGACCTCACGACACCGAAGCGTTTCGTTCAGGAGCTCGACGTCTACAAGCGCCAGCCGTGGCACCTCCCGCATCACCTCTTCCCGCACTGCGACGCGGAAGAGAAGGAGATGTACTTCTTCACTCGGAGACGCCGCGCGAGTATAGCAACAGCTCCAAAAGATTCAACCGGGGCGTCGACGAAGGAGGTTCGTGGGTCGGTCACGCCGCGGGCAGGCCCATCTACAAAACAGAACAAGCTGGGGATAACAAGGAGGAGATCGAGATCGGGCACGGGGCGCAGTTGGCGTTCAAGTTGTTCGATGATCCCAGCGATAAGAAGAGTAAGAGGGGCACCACGTGGGTCATGCACGAGTATCGCCTCGTCGATGACAAGGCTGATGACGTTGTGCTCTGCAGAATCCACAGGAGGAAGGGCAAGGGAAAGGAGGAGGAGGAGGAGAGGGTGGCACCGGTGATTGATACGCAACGGAGGTTCGACGAGCAAATCTCATTAATTGCCAGCCGTGCAGCCTTCGATGGAAGTTGATGCCGTTGCTGCATGCTGATGATGTTGATGACGATCGATGCTGATCTTTTATTTGTGCAGGGAACTGATGGAGGTGGAGGCGGAGCAAAGGCGAGTGAAGAGGCGGAGAACAGGAGGAGGAGGAGGAGACGACGAAGAAGAAGAAGCCCATCAGGCCTCTGCCGTCGATACTGACGACGGGCTAATCACAATGACGCTAGATGAAGTTAACACAACCTTGGACGAGCTTCCTTCAAATGCCTCGCGGCAGCAATCGGTAGACCCCGTGGACGTAGAGCAACTTTCGGAATGCCTCGAAGTCGAACCCTTAGCTTGGTTCGACGGCCCGTCCTTTCGTCGAGACGTCAGCCACTCAGGATTGCTTGAACCCGCCATTGCCGGCTTTTGCTGCCGATGAGCACTGTAATTTTTTTTTTTCCAGACAAGCACCGGCCATCTGCGAGGACTTAGTATTTTAGAGTTGAAGATTAGTTTGTAATGTACAGCATACATTGATTTTAAATTGCTTTTTTTTTATCCCAGACAATTTTGGCTGCATTGATCTATCTAGTTTACTTCTATTGAAACTGATTCAGTCTGTCTTTTCTTTCTCCTGCTCTGCTTATCCTTCTCAGCAATTGCTAATGTTGTTTTGAGTTTGTTGGACAACTACGAGATTGGATCTTGTGTGATTTGATCCAAATCGCTGGCTCGAATATCGCACTGCATCAAATAAGAGCAACCAGAAGAAGCGAGAGACATTGGATGAATATGAATTTGAAATTATCTGCTGATATGCAAGGACTGCTATTAACAAGCCCCATCAGCTCCACTTTGTTTCCTGCTATATTTTTCTATAGACAAAATTGTCAAATTGGTATATTTTGTAGACACTCGGTGACATACTGGTGTATTTTTTCACTTTTGACAAATTGGTATATTATATATACTCCGGCGCCATATACCCCTTAATTTTGGCCGGATTGATTTTTCCAGCCAGTTTTCTCACGTGACGGCTTACGTGATGTCCAGCTGGCGGGATTTTTTGCACAAAATATGCCGTGTTTTGCACGGTGTTCACACTAGTAATTAGTAAAGGCAGGTGATTATGGGGGTGGAAATTACTCTCGCAAGCGATCATGAATACAAGAATCTATACAAGGCGCGAGATATTTTAATTTATCTACTCCTCTATACCAATGGGAGAACCCAAGATTCACTGCTACTGTAAATGCTATAGTGACGTTTACTGTAATATTATTACTGTAGCAAACATGAAACTGAGTGCTGAGTTTTTTTTTGAAAATTGTTACTGTAACACAAGGGATAATGTAGCCGGGATACTGTAACAGTTCAAAAAATTCAAAAAAAACTGTAGTAGTTAAACCGGGATTTCTGTACCGGAAAAAATATGTGTCGTGCTTCGCACGGTGTTCACACTAGTATTCTCTAACAGAAGAACCACATCGAAAGGAACTTAAAAGATTTAAGGGACTAAGAAGCAAATAATAAAAAAGATGTAATAAAACTCTTCGGCGATTAAGTCTGATTTAAGGGACTAATATGCAACCCACGCATTTCTTATTTTTCGCGTTTGTGGACCCTCACATCTCGACGAGAGCAGCACGGGCCACGGCCACCAAAACACCCACCCATGTTGATACTACCCTCACCTATCCCCTCCCGCCCCATCCTCCTCCCCTCCGCTCCTCGCCCACCCCCTACCCGTCCCCTCACCCACCCGCTCGCCCCCCAAACGGCCCAGGCCCAGACCCAGGCCTCTAACATCCCCCCACCGCAGCGAGCCGCGCGCCACTCCCCCTCCCCGAAGCCCTGCAAGCCCTGAAACCCAAGCCCCCAGCCTCAACCAACGTCCTCGTCGTGGGCCACCGGTACATCGGCCGCTTCGTCGTCCGCGAGCTCTCCTCCGAGGCTTCAACGTCGTCGCGTCGCCCGCGACCGCAGCGGCATCCGCGGACCGCAACGACAGGGCCGCGAACCTAGCCGACCTCGCCGGGCCCGAACTCCGTCCTCTCTCCGACGTCGCCGATTCCAAACCCGATCGGTCCCTCTCCGACTCGGCGCCCCCATCGACGCCGTTCGTCTGCTGCCTCGCCAGCCGCAGCGGCGGCATCCGGGACTCGCTGAGGATCGATTATGCGCGCCACGAAGAACAGCCCTGATCGCCGGGAGGAACCACGGGGCCAGGCACTTCGTGCTTTTGTCGGCCATCTGCGTGCAGAAGCCGCTTCTCGAGTTCCAGCGTGCGAAATTGAAGTTCGAGGCCGAACTGATCGAGGAATCGAGCAAAGATCCCAGCTTTACCTACAGCATTGTCCGCCCGACTGCCTTCTTCAAGAGTTTGGCGGGCCAAGTTGAGCTTGTGAAGGATGGGAAGCCTTACGTGATGTTTGGGGATGGAAAGCTCTGTGCCTGTAAACCCATCAGCGAGGAGGACTTGGCGAGATTTATTGCCGATTGTGTGGTGGATGAGGATAAGGCTAACAGGGTTCTGCCTATTGGCGG